GAGATGTACAGTACCTCAAGTTTTACCTAAAGCTATTTTTACCACACCAGCGGATGTACCGCTGGTGGAAGCGGTTCTACCAACCTGGCCCGCGCTTCCGAAACAACCACCGCCCGAGGGGTTATCCCCTCGAGTTAGTAGTGCTTCGTGATGTTGTTGAGCGGTTGTACTGTTGTTCCCATAGTGGTTGTACCGCCAGGAATTAGGCATCTCCAAGAAAACTACGAGGCGGTTGTACTGGGTCAGTTATCGCCCCAACCACAAGAACAGGGTGACTCCCTTCTGGTATGATGGCAGTAGTGGGTGGTTGTCGCCCAGTTGTCCCGGCTGCTCTCGGAGCAGCGGTACAACCGCTTGTCCGGGTGCGGTTGTACCGCTTGGGACTTAGCGACAACCGGAGCATCGGACCTGCAATAGTATCGGTCCTAGTACCGACCCTTGTACCTCACACGGATGGCTTCATTATGGTACGAGGATGGTGCTAGGTTGTACATGCTCGGTTGTTCTTGCTAAGCCTTTCTCACCGGTACAACCGGCTGTACTAGCGGTTGTACCGCCTAGTGCTCTGCAGTGGGGAAACCCGCAAAAGGCGGTTGTACCGGTGCTTGCACCAGTTGTACCGATACTATGTAAAATTGGATGTAACGGTTGGATTTGAGGAACACTATAAAAGGAGGTGGTTCTTCCACCTCGCACTATACCATTGTGGTGAAGCTTTGTGATGGTGTTGGGAGCCTTCAATTAAGTTGTGGAGAGAGCCCAAGCTTGTTTGTAAAGGTTCGGTCACCACCTTCAAGGGCATCACTAGTGGAATCTTGACATCTTGCATTGTGCGAGGGTGTGAGAGAAATATGGTTGCCTTAATGGCTTCTTGGGGAGCATTATGTCTTGACATCGCTCCAAGGAAGACGCATGGGAGGGAACTTCGGTAACATATCCTTGTCTTCATCGACTCCAGTTGAGGTTACTTCTAACCTTCACTTTGTGAAGGCTTATATTGTGTTTTTCCCCGCAAAAAAGAGCATATATTGTGTTTGTATCTTGTGCTTGCTTGCTTGTGTTGTTGTTGAGCTCATCATATAGGTTGACCACCTAGACACCATATCTGGACAATCTATTTTGTTGTTAAACCTAATTGTCAAAAGAAGCTAAAAATTGTTAGTCGACTATTCAACCTCCCCCCCCCTCCCCCCTAGTCGACCATATCAATCCTTTCACTCCTATGTCGGATTACGACTGCCCATTTGCGGTGTCGTGGAAGAGATTAGCGGCTGGC